AGAAAATTTGAAAAATCTGAAATCTGACGACTTAAGGCAGTCGTAATGATAAATACTGGTTTTGATTACAGCAATAGAAATAATACACATGTTGTGTATGTCAAACCACGGCATTCCTCGTTAAGCGGTGTTAGCTGATACATGATTAAGATGGAAATGGGTTCGAGGTGGTCAAACCGAAACCTGGTATCATTCCGTGTGTGCCTAGACTATTGGTTCGAGCCACATAGATTAATGTAGACTATCTGGTTGGAATTGTCAAGAAGCTAAGAACTAATGATTTGAGATTTTTTAGTGGTACGGCTCACAATCATTTTCAGTGGTGCAGATACACACTTATTGTGATCTCCAAAATCCATTAATTCTTCACTCTTCTTCATATTGTTATTTTTTCTAAAATACGTTTCCGTTCATCGTAGTTGCATTAAATTTCCTCTCTACCTTAGTGTGCCCAATGGAGTTTGTTAGCTCGAATTGCTTCACTTCCATACAAAGTTCTGCATTGACACTCAAGCAAATCCATAATTTGCAGATTACCCTTTTTTTGGCGATATATCACTGTAGCTCCCTTTGAAAGCTGAAATTATCCCTATCTACATGTGTGATATTGTTTGATACCATAAATGGCAGTGGAAATAATCAATGATGCATGACGGTCGATATCAACTAAACTGTTTGAGTAGTTTTATTGACCCTATTTCTCTAACTCATTTATTGCAAAATGTCTCAGTATATCCATTCCTAGAAATGATACCCCTAAGTTTCTTCATTTCACATTCAGTTCTACTGTCAGAACAGATTTACTGTGTTATATTTAAAGTGTTCTGACCAGGTTTCTTATATTGGTAGTATTTTCTCAAAGTATATATAATACTATATGTAGAGTATTCATCTGATGAATTCATTAAATCTTGCTCTGTTAGAATTTTGTTTATTTTAGAGTCATGTTTTTCGGTTGCTGCGAGTTGTTTCCAATTAGTGTGTGCTGCACTAAAGTCACCGAGGGTGAAGTATTTAGTCCTAGTGTCTCATACATACTGTTGGTTTAATACAAAAGCATGCGATTGACAGTTAGGACTTTGGTCATTTTAGTGTCTACATTTTAGGTTATTTAATAAATTGTGACTTTACAAGTACCACCGGTATGCGTATATGATACCATTGACCTATCTCTTATGCCTTCTGGAATGTTTCACCTCATTCACAACTGGTGACTTTATCTGTTCATACACAGGGGCAGCCAGGTATGAATGGATGGTTACTAATTCTGACTGAATTCTTTTGGATGATTCTCACAGTTTAGAAAATTTATTCGTAATACTGTAACAACAGAAGACAAGGGCCAGGCAACAGATCGTTTATTAAGGAAAATCAACACATATTTATAGATTTTAATGTACATTATTGTAGATTATTGTTAGTATAAAACACAGCCTTTTGATTGGTTGTTTCTCACAGAAAGTTAACCTTGCATCTCTTTGTGGCTGTGTCAGATCATCTATATGCTAACTGTATCCGCCTACGCAAAGCCTTTGTCCTCATTTTCTCACCACTAACTAATATTGGGGACATAAACATTGACGTCAATTACTATCTACCAATTTTGGCTAGCAGCCAGCTCTCACCACAATACTGCTGTCGTTATTTCAACAACAACAATAACAGCGACAATAGTAACAATCCAGTAGAGAAATCCATTGACTCAAAGGCCGCTAGTTCTTATTTCGGTGAAAGCATAACAAAATAATGCCAAGAACGTATTTGTCAGTTTCATTTCCGATATATCTACTCTTTTCAAGAAGTTATAATACGATAATGCAAAGCAGTATCCAGATTTAATACTTGTCGGTTTCTCTTTCACATGACGTAAGTCTAAAGCCGGAAGGAAAGTTCCTCAGTACTGTGTCTACCATTCTCAAGGTACTGAAGCATGTGTATTTGCTAACCTAGGCAGCATTCTGACAAATTGGTGGAAGGATCTTTTGGTGTAGTGTACGTATTCTCAAAAGAAGTGCAAAACAAGTTCATTATCCCAATGTATGATATCCGCTATAACTGACTTTGATATCAGAGCCTAAATATCACGATTTGAAATCATTTTTTTTGATTCAACGTCATATATTTTTTCTCCTATCTATTTTCTCTAGTAGTTTTCTATTGTACACTAATTGTTATTTTCACCCCTTTGCACTAGTGTTTGAAAAGTTTTTCTAGTGATCTGTACAAAGCAACTGCAACTTCCGTTCTTTATGCAAGTAGTGGAGTTAAAAGCTGAGAATACCATAGATTTACTGCTACAAAAGTATGGTTGTGTAATTAATAACAGGCAAGGAGGTTAGTGGTAATCAAAGGAGACAGATTCCAAAATAAATTTTTACACGGGAAACCTTTATGTCATAGAGATACTCGATAACAGTATTTCATAAGTATAGATAGTAGAATTAACCTAAAGGGTTACCATGTCCCATACGACCTATTTGAACACTGATTTAAATCTATTGACACTATAATAAGGGTTTTCTTGTATTTCCCAATGAATGAAAAACAAAACGATATTGTTGTTTTTACTGACATTTCGCTATTTAATGCTAATAGCTTTATCAGAGTGTTATTAAACCAGAATTGACAAACTCTCAGCTTATATATTACAACCTAGTCATCGTTCCTCTGCATGGGGGCATTTTTGGTTGACAAATTGGCTAATTGGTTAAGACAAAAAAACCGGGTAGGTGTAGATTTTTGGATTTGATAAGTGTATGAAATTATACAAAAGCAGCGTGTGTTTACATAACGAAATTGCTAATCACATTCGTGTTTATGTTTTCATTTCATGGGGGAGGGAGGTGTTGTAGCCAGGTCAAATTCCGTCTCGGTTCATTATTCCTATTCAGACAATTTGGACTCCACTTGATATGAAGTGCTTCTGATGATATTAGACGTTCTTTGTGATTTCTGACGTTATGCCTTTATTTTTAAAGGGTCTCACCTCTATCGATAGAACTCTGCAGATTTGTACAGCTTGTGATCGGTTTTAAGTTTGTATAGGTGGCACTGAAAAAATGATTATCATAAGTTGACACTGAAACATATGCTGTCATTCACCTGAATTTCTTAATATGATTATTTTTTTATTCCTTTACATTCCCAGAGGAACATAGGGCTTCAGGCTAGAAACTTGAAGCTTCTGTATCAGTGGTGTTTATTTTTACGGTATGGGATTGATCTGTAAATCGCTAGTGTTACGGGCTACCTTATCAATTAGTTCTTCCACCAAAACTCCCGGTTTACCGATTGACCTAAGTGCACATTCGTCATCAGCACTAATGTCTTGAGTGAGCTGCTGACTATTTGATGTTAGTCTCTTAACAGTACTAACTCGTTTCCTCTTTACCAGTTTAATCACTGGCTTAGCGAGGTAAAGGAATGCGCCGGTGGCCGGGCCATCGAACCCTGAACCACGTGAGCGTGGTTGGCGAGCATTCTACCGCTGTGCCACCGACGCACACAATATGATTATAGCTCGATGAAATAATCATTCTAGTTGTCATTGTTGATGTAGTCAGTACAACGTCCAGGTCTAACTGCGACGTAAATGTAATAGTTGCTCATCGAGGTTATCAAATTTTATGCTAACTGACTGACTGAGTTTCAACGTAGAACTTTGCATGGAAGTATAGCTGTTCAAGTTGTCACAATATGTTGCGCACAAAGTCAGACCATAGAAAGAAAAGAAATGCAAAAGAATTACAACAAATATAAATGCCAGGGAAAAGAATAGTAAAGTAGAAAAAACATGACGGTTTAATCGATATGGGAGATCACAAAGAATTGAATGCATCAGCGCTGTCATTGAGCACGATTTCAAGCCATATCACCAATAGTCTCCAGGCATTGGTTCTTAGCATCTAGACGCTCCGAACCAGGTAGTTCACACGCAACTACGTGGTTCAAACCACCTACCAAGGACTTCATCGATTGATTCCAGGTTTTGGTTTGACCACGCCCAACTTTTTTCCAAACCTAATTCTATGTCATTTAAAAGCCTGTAGACACATACGAGGAAGATGGAGTCGAACCGCTCCAATGACAGTCGACTACAGGTTTGAACTTTGCATCTTGGATCACTGAGGTTCATCGTCGTGATTTAAATGCACTAACATTACCATTGTATATTCTAGTATTGGTTTGTAGAGGTTTGATTGATTAGTTACAGGATTTCATCATGAGCTGACATCGGTTAGAAAACCGGATATAAGTTGGAATTCATGGGCCATTGCTGCTGCTGGATTCAACATAGAACTTAGCACCGAGGTGCAGCAGTTCGAGTTGCCACGTTCCAAATACCACACAAAGGTAGACAGGAAAATGAGAGAAGAGAATCAATAGAATTTAGATAAGTATACGAGTGAAACAGAATGAGTAATGGTAGAAAGGAGTATGAAAGATTACAGAGACTGAATACATCTGCGTAAGCCATTGACAACGATTTTGAGCCATGTCACCTATTGTCTCCAGCCATTGATTCTTAGAGTCCCGAGGGTGGGCCCCAACTCGGAAGTCTGCATCTCCCTACCTGTCTCAGTTTAACTGTCAGGGATTTCATGGATTGATGAGGCCATGTTTTTGTTTGGCCACGACTTACTCTTTTCCAACCTGCACCTATATCAGCTAGTAATGCCCGTCCGTCGGGGGAGGCGATGGCTAGGCATACGCCATTGAATTGGATCCCAGTGGCTTAATGGTCTCAGAGCACCATGTCAGTGGGTGCCTACTGACGAAAAATCCCGAACTAGGCTGATGAAACAGCTGTCCAGTACTCCCAGGTGGTTTTCCTATGGTTCTCTAACCGATGTCAGCTCATGATGGAATCCTGTAATCAAATACCATTTGTTTAATTGTCCAGTATTGTGTTAGGTTGTCAGTGTGTGTGTACATACGTTTGTATCCCTATTTATACCTGACCAGCTTTTGTTTTTCAAAAAATATTCTTTCACAATTTAGATTATTATTTACTAACATGAATAAATAATGTCAGCTGCAGAATCATTCGGTGACTCATTAAATAATGTGATCAATTCACCAGAAGCTGTAAAGATAATTCAACAGCAAGAGCTAATGCTTACAAAATTTGAAAAAACAAATGAAATGCTTCGTACAGTCTCTGAACTATCCGAGGGAAGATATCGTATCCTATGCAATGAGTTGAATACGCATACAAAAACTATTCTGTCTTTGAAAAAAGAAATGAACGATGTGTTCAAGCGTATTCGATCGATCAAAAAACTATTGGCCACCTATTTTCCCGATGATATGGAAAGACTTAGCCAGCAGCTGGCGGCTAGCAGTAATACTGAAGATACAGGTGATGACTGTAATACTGTACACAATGCTGCTGCTAGTCGATTGCCAGAAACATGTACAATTCCAAAAGCGATGGAGACAGTTTGTGAAGACTCTTCTTTAGAATGAAATATTGTCAATAACTTTTTCATACATGTGATATATACATACAAACATGCATAATAAATATTGATTTTTCACTTTTCATTTCTGTTTTCGTGGTTACGCAGTGTTAAAAGTCTGTTTGCCCTTTCGTTTTTAAATATAATAGTTGTATTTATCTGATTTTCAGTCGAAGCGTTGGTGGTGTGGTGGTAGAATTGTAACGACAGAAGACAAGGGCCGGGCAACAGATCGTTTTTTATTGAATTTCAGATTTTCGCGTCGACTGATTCGACCGAAGTGCTCGGTCTCAGGTTGACATGTCGGCTACTTGTGCAGATGCTTCGACGATGTTTGGGCATGTAATTAGAATTTAATAAGTGGGTAGTGACTAGCAGTGAAATCCAGGATTATGCACATTTTGTCTTATTTGGGACTCGTCATCTGGACGTACCTGCATTCCCAGTGAGTGCTGATGTCACCATCCACCAATTAAATTCTTATTACATGCCCAGATATCGTCGAAGCATCTGCACAAGTAGCCGATATGTCAACCTGAGACCGAGCACTTCAGTCCAATCAATCGACGGGAAAATCTGAAATTCAGTTTAATTAACATGTCCCGTTGCACAAGAGGTAGCTTTCATGGCCCAAGTGGTTTAGTGGGTAACGCTTTGGCGTTTGAAACTATGGGCACTGGGTTCGGGCCTCGGGGGGTAAATCAGCACTCACTGCGGGATGCAGGTACATCCAGATGACGAGTCCCAAATATAATGAAATACACAGCCCGGATTTCACTGCTAGTCACCATTCACCAACTAAAGAAACAGATCGTTTATTGAGAAAATCAACAGATATTTATGGATTTTTATGAACATTGTTATTAGCATTATTGTTAGCAGAGAAGCGACGTCCTCTGATTGGTTGCTTTCTCTTTGCTTGAGACCGTTTCTTAGAAAGTTAAGCCAGATATCTGTGAATCGTATTTGCACACCTTAAGTCTGCTGTGATTGGTTAGTGATTTTCTCAAGGTTGAGTCTTATCATTGTTTTTCCCCAGGACGTGAACACTGACGTAAACTGCTGTCTACAATTTTTGGCTTGCAGCCATAGAATAATACCAACCACGCCTCCCATAGTCCAGTAGTTAGACCCCCCCGCCGCCGAACTAACGCACTCCTCTACCTATCTTTTCTCGTAGTAAGCTTGTTTTATGTTTTTGTATATTTTCAGAATGTTTTCCTGTCTACAAATAATCAATGTTATCCGTCAAGATTTCAAGTCTGCTCGTTCAACCCTCTCTTATTTACTATCTGAAACTAAACAGTTAACAAAAATTGAAACTCGAGCAGTTCGTGCACTTCGTATCAGTTTTATCATTTTGATTTGCCTATTCTACTTATTAATTGAGTGTAATCTTAGTAACAGGTTAGTAATTTTTTTTTAAAATAACTTCAAATTTTTTTTAGTTTAACACTGACAGCATTTACGCATTTATTAATATTCGATTTACTCTCTGTGCTTGTCGCTTTGGTAAGTCTTTGGACATATCGTAAAAAAGCCTCAGTGGAATCCTACACTTTTGGTTATGAAAGATTTGAAGTTGTTAGTGTATTCGCTGCTACTATTCTAGCTATTCTCTTATCATTTTTTGAAATTAAAGAAGCTGTTGAACGGATATTTGAACCTTCAGAGGTGAGTATGCTATGTTATTTTACCTTTTTTGTTTTTTCCCCCTATGCTTTATTGATGTAAGAAACTCTAGTGTATAGCATATATAATATATATATATATCTTAAAAGTTACGTAATCCTAATGGTGGGTGAAGTGGACAGATAATCAGAGTTTAAATAAATATCATAAAAGTACGAAGGAAATAGAAAATAAGAAAGGGTGGGAGGGTTTTGATTACAATTCACCTAGGCCAGGCAAGGGAGAGACAAAGGTAGAACAAACTTCTTTTGTATGCAACGACACTGGGATTGTTCTCTCGAATCAATTCCCATAGCTTCGAGTGTGTGTGAAAGACGGCTTCGAATTCCGTTCGAAAAGCTCGATGGAATGCGATAGATAACTTTGAAGGCGGCACTATTTTTGTCCACTCGGTGACAGCTATCAATCAAATGAGTCAAAAATAGAACTTCTTGTAGACTTTACTTGAACTTTTCTGAACCATAAAGGCCCGACCGAAAGCTGCTACCTTGACGTGGTGGTCGGGCTTGGACACCGCAATGACCCAACAAGCTATACTGGCTGGAACTTATGTTCCTGCAGGTCCTACCACGCCAGAAAGGTTGTTTCGATAGCAGTTAGACTAAAAGCAGTTACCCAATCCAATCCTATGATTTCAAATAAATCGCAAAATATCATGCCGGATCGGTCGGGGCCCGGATTAACAACGACCGCGCTTTCTGCTGCCGTGTCACAGGGCAGAAGTGATAATTACGCTACTGAGACACACGAAGTAAGAAAGAACAAACAAAAGCAGGCCGCGTGTGACCGGCCTCAAGCAGTTGTCCCCTGGGCTCTGCGGTCACGCAACCAACTTCCACGGTGTGGGCAGCCGGGAAGTAACAATCGCCCTCACAATCCGAAGTGCACGCGAAACCTCTCTAATCCTCGCTCATCTTTGTCTTCATCTTCTTCTCTATTATCTTGCCTTCCTTCTACTAATACAACTCCTCTACTTGATGGCTCTCCACTTCCTCTTCACTCTGTGTGCACTGAAAACGACGGAAGCCAAAAAGCCACCACCGACCGAACCATAAAGGAAGATGCTCATTTAATGCGTTTGTTAAGCTGTCTAGTTGTTTGCCCTATAAAGCCAGCTATCTCCACAGGAGCAACTAAATTTGTAGATACCCATAGAAGTGGCACAGCTAGCTAAGTAGCTTGTCTTTCGCTTGAGTAATCATAATTTATCGGGAGCTGGAAAATGACAAACGAAGAGTGGCGGCTGTATAAGTCCGTTTTATTGCTCTCAATAATCTCATATGTAAGACCTCACTAGCCACGTCCCCCATTAAATTGCAATTTCATGAAGAGTTGTTTCTTTTTAACTGTTGTCAGTTTCTCATTCTTATTTTCCATTTCCTTCGCACTTTTATGATATTTGTCTATTTAAACTCTGATTATATCTGTCCACTTCACCTACCTTTTGTATTATGTAACTTTTAAGGTTTGACCTAATTTATTTATTGCATTGTCTACAAATACACACATTACTACCTTTGTTATTCATATATTTCTGAGTCATGATATTTTAGTTTATTATTTTTATCATTATTATCACAGGCTGACATAAGTGTGTGGAAGTCCCTCTTGCTAGCTAACCGGTATTAGTCACCGACCTTTTTAAAGGTAATCAAAAGAGGGTAAACGAAACCCCTTCTGCCACAGAAACAGTTACACTATAGCAGCCACGAGGATATATGACCTTCGACAATCAAATTATGACTTCTATTCTGGATTTGCTTAACGAGTTCCAAGATGGTCGAGTGTTTGATTACTGTTTGAACAATGGATTGATAGGAGTTAATAGAACATTCATATACGATGGGAGGTTGCCAGGAATAACTGGTCAACTGGGAAGATTAGATTTAGGGGCAGAATAGAGAAGAGAATCAGATATATATTACCTGTGCTGAGAACACTACGCTATGTAGTCATGCTTTTAATAATGCTACTAATTTTGCATCGCTTTTTAATTCTGATTAATTTTTTCAGGGTTAATGGCTGTTGTACTTTAACTTCGCCAAAGTAGGTTATACTACTATAAGAGTCTTAGGGGGGTAAAGTTCTACTGCAGGTTAGAAGGGTGATCCGGGATTAACGCGATTTCCATATAAATAATATTTTCTATGTAATAAGAATACTTATCGATTCATTCGAAATTTTTAATTTCACTAATCCTGATTCTATCTGTAATATAATATATAGATATATTCAAATCATATGATTACGCCATGTTTAATCGCTTTCGGTGTTCATCTGTTGGCTGTTTATGGAATTGACAATATGGCTTTTACACATGTCATTCAAGCCTGTGGTTCAAGTTGGTTACAGGTTAGTTAGTCAGTTAGTTATCTTTCGATTTGTGTACACAGGATACCATAACATGTATAAATAAGTGTATATATGGCGTGAAATTAAGACGTAATGGTTGAGTCTTGTGGCTTAGTGAATAATTTTTTTAATTTTAATATAGCGAAAATACATTCATTCAGACATCTATAAAATACAAAATAATTGAGCAAAGAATATCCTTTCTCGATAATTTCCTCTCCTGGCTCTACCATTTTATATATATATATATGTATATATCTATGTATATATGCTTATATACATAGAATATTCTAGATTAGTAGTCAATAACAATATTGGTGTTTTTTTTTAAAAAATAATATCGATTTGTTAAGTAAGATCACAATGGAATTACCACAGTTCATTAAAGATGCTTAAATTATAATCATAATAATAATAATAAAGATATAGTAGCAAATAGAATATCAACTAAAACCAGGAAAATTCCACAAAAATTCAGGATCATTCGAACCTAGATGGCCAAGCGGTAAGGATAATGTCTGAATTAACTTCTTTTGGATGCATAAATTAGGCTTCCTAATATGAATCCCAACAGCCGGTCTCAGGAATATTTAGTAGTCGAACTCTTAAGGCCAAATTGAGATTTGTTGGTTGGTATGCGGTAAACGACTTTGAAAGCTGCCTTGTTAACATCAATCTTGTGTTCTGTGAATCCACAAGATGAGATAGAATAGCGCTATGTGAATAGATTTTGTTTGCCCTAACTTTACTTAACCAACCACTATACGGGGTGGGTGATGTTCGGAAATTCGATGTGAAACACGCCTAATTGTACAGCCTATTCAATTAACTGGCTCCACAGGAGCCCAGTGAAACATAGGGCTTATTTTTACGGGATGCAGTTGCTAGCCTCATGCGTCCCCCTAACCTTCCCTCTTTCCCAGTCCTATTGCTGGCTTAGCGAGGTAATGGAGGAGTGCGTCCGTCGGGCAGGAATCGAACCCCGAACCACATGAGCGTAATTGCAGGGCATTCTACCGCTGTACGCCACCGCTTTAGTGAATAAAGCGTATGTTAAGTGATAGTAGTAGTAGTAGTAGTAGTAGCTCTCTGGCTTTGAATTCAGGCTCCATGCTAAACTT